TGCCAACCATATACAGGTCCGCATAAAGTCCTTTCTAGAACGGACAAAACTTTCACAATTGATGTTAACGGTCTGAAATCTACTGTGTCTATAGACCGTGTGAAACCAGCCTATTTGCTTTCGGACTCTAATTTGCCTGAACTGAAAACAAATAAAGACTTAAAGACAGTTCAGCAGAATAAATCTGCAAACGAACTCTCTAAGACACAAACTGTCACCAGATCGGGAAGACATGTTCACTTCCCTAAGAAACTTGCTTCTTACATAACAATTTAAAACATTTTTTTTAAATTCATATCTTAACATATTTCTTGTTATTTCATGTTTATTATATGTGTCAATACCTTGTTATATATTGAATTGCATTTTGATCTTTTCTAATTTTATATTCTAATTTTGTAATCATGTAAAAAATACCCGACAGTACGGATACTCTGAGATAATTTCATAACCTATGTCGTTCCTTTGAATAGCCATTAAAGGAACTGGGGGGAAACTCTGTGGTGATGGCGATAAGGAGCGCGCCTTGCGCCCTCCGATAAGTGTGGCAACCCTAGAGGAGAAGTTTCTTACGAGTAGCGAGCAGAGCGAAACAGGCAGGCTGTCGGGCAGTGTGCGCGAAGTTCCTAAATAAAGCTTAATTTTTATTGTGCACTATGTCTTGTTAATATTTATATTAATGCAGTAAGAACATAATCTGTGATATGAGGGTAAAACATAAGAAATATTAATTAATTTTAAAATTTGAAAAATATGCTATAGTTACTTAAATTAAAGTGAACGGTGTCGATTTTACTCAGGACGGTGCGATAAATTTATATCCTTATATGAAATTCAAATACAAGCCAGTTTCCCTTAGAAAGTCTTCCATAAAGCCATCCCTTCCCATAGATGGATAACCTCCACTTGCTTTGCCGTACTCAGTTCAATAATAGCAAGCATATATAAAATGCTAATTATAGCGACATAAAGTTTTGTATTTGTAAGATTATACATACATCATCAACAGCAAGCCAAAACTACATATTAACGAAATCAGTTTTATGCAGAAAATAAGAATTTCTCTCGTAAATGCAGGAGAGAATAATAACTTCCCCTCATAAATTTTTGGTATGGGCTTGATTTTGCAAAAATCGATGTTCTACACCAGGCATTCCCAAATCTGTTCTTAGATCGATCCCTGTTAAAGGTTTCTTCATCTACCCACTTACATTTTTCTTTATAATATACAGTCTGCAACATAACAATAATAATAATTGCATATATGTGACTTAAAGATAATAATTTAAGAACTAAGAACATAAACAAAAATTTAGATTTATGTTTTATTATGTTTTGTATAATTATTAAGTTTACAAATATAAAAAGTTTTCAGGAAAAAAATTACAGAATTTAATTTCCTAAAAGTTCGATTTTAATCACTGCGCTTCATATATTGATGCACATTTTTAAATATGTAGCATAAAATTGCTTATGCCGTATTATTCCTTGTTTCCCGTAATAAGTTGACTAAAGCTTTCTTCAGTTAAGTAAGAAGATGGGAAAATCAATGGTGCTGGGCTAGATAAAAGCTTTTATTTTGTGATACTTCTTTCGAATGACTTTTATTCCAAGACTTAAAGTTATTATAATTATACTCCAAAATTCAACTTATACGCATGTATTTTGAATAAGTTTTGTCTTCCTGTGATATAGCATTATATGAATAGCTAATTAAATATCACTTTTATCAAATAAAGTTTCGTAATTAATGGGATCTTTATTGTGCCGATTAACTGCCCATGCAAATTCGGCTATCGACTCTCATTGTATTCCTTGATCATTATTTACCTCCTTTAAAATTTTATCGACAACCAGGGGGTCAATACCGACCCCGCCGAAAACCTTTCTTCTACACTATAATTCTAATACGTTTATCAAAAACAAATGCATTATACTTTTAATCATAATGAAAAACAAAAAAGTGCAATATTAATATTAAAGGGTATCACTGATGTCCTCGGACGGGAGTGCGAACATTTTCTTTGTTTTTTCTGGATTCATCATATAATAGTTTAGATTTAAGTTCTAAAATTTTAATATGAAAGTTATTCATTTTTCGATTCTAGACGTATTTATTATTAAAATTTTTTCCCCAGTTATAAAGCTTCTTTTCTTTTTTCATAGAAAGTAAACATTTAAATGTAGCAAGAAACTCTTTTTCTATTTAAGAAAAAAGGCGTGTGAACGAATAGAAGGAACGCAATTGCGAGAATGACCATAGGAGGCGCAATCAGCCGTAGGGATAAAGGGAGCAGGAGGGGTGCAGCCAACTTGACCCGAGAATGAGAAAGTGAACAGTAAGGATCTAACATCTTCGAAAGATACTTTGAAAGTTTTCAGAAAAATTTAGTTGTGTGTTACAAAAATAATGTTTTAATTTGTAATGAGTTACTATAAAAATTTAATTTGGGACGTCCTGAATAAAAGTAAATAGGAAAAAAAAAAAAAAAAAAAAAAAAAAAACACCTTTTATGAGTGTCCTCTAAGAAATTCTACATTTTCTAAGTGAATTCTACTCAGTGCACTTTGTTTTGGAATAGGTAAGCAATTCCCCCTTTTTTGAAAGTTATGGATATTATATAATTTATAATGAGAAAACTTTTTATGTCATTAAAAATTCATTGCAGTTGTGTATTTAAATGTACTTACCTAAGCTGAAAATTTCTATTAATGGTAATTTGTTCAATTATTAATTATCTGATTAAGAATTGTACTTGAAATTTTTTTTTCCTTTGCAATAACCTCAATTTTATTAAATATGCTATTCAGTGATGCTATTACACAGAGAGTTATTGATTCCTCGTTGTGCATTTAGACAAAATCATTGTCTTAACAAAATTATTCCTTTAATGTATGATATTAATGAGAGGATAGTTATTTTAATTCTTATGTAAAAATTTTTCTTCGAAGAGTAGCTGATCACAAATGATTGATTGAATTAAGATTTGCTAATAATGCCTGAACTTTACTGATTTTATAGAGCTGTAGAGGGATAATATCTTATACTTATCTATATGCCGAAACATTTTCATTGTTCCCATATACAGGAATTGAAGTGCTTAAAACTCTTATGCTGTATTAAAAATTCTAAGAAATGTGAGAACCACTGAGTTAGTGATGTGGGAAAAAGAATAAAGCCCCCTTTCTAACTTCTTTAACAGTGAAGAATTAACTGTAAACAAGTTATAATCTTTGCTGCTTCTATCAATTAAAAAGAATTAATGTAATTTGACTTTCACTTAAGAAAGAGTTAAAGTGTAATTGAGCATATTTAAAGTATTATAGAATCTATCGCAAAATTCTAATTCATAAATTAGTAAACTCAGAATTAAAATAAAAGTTTAGAAATAATTTTAACTTAAATTATAATCTCAGTGATTTAAAAGTAAGTCAATAAAAACTATATTATTTTTGAATTTTTTTTCATGTTTAATAAAAACAATAAAAGGCAAACATTTTTACTTCTTTGATCGAAAAAAAAAAGATATATTGTAATCACGAAGAATTTCGGGTATCATATTTCAATACAAATATTCATTTTGACCTTTCGCGAATCAATTCGGACAATTTTTTTGTATGACATCTGTACGTACGGACAAAATAAAGAATTATTTTTTTCCAAAACGGATTGTGAAATGGATTTAAAATATACTCAAAAGGGATTTTTTTTTCGTGATGTCTGTACGCCGTACATTGTGCACTCACCCCTTTGCCCAGCCTTTATTTTCTCAATTGTTGGTCTTTTCATATATTTTCTAATTATAGTTGTGTTTTAAATGAAGAAAATATTCACCTCTTGTCAAAAAAAGTATTAAATAAATAAAATGAAATAAAAAATAATTTTCGCCGAGTATCGAAATCAAACTTTTATTGCGATCTCCCGGTTTCTATACTCATATTTGATAAAGTTTTATATTTGTTAAATATATATATATATATATATATAAGAGGTTTGGCTTCCGTACGATAAAAATTGAAAAAATATTTTATTTCAAAACTTGAAATTTTTTATATCATTTTCAACTTGATTGAGGTTAATTAAGTTAAAATTGATTGGTTAATTAAGTTAAAATAACTCTAGGAAATAAGTTTAAATAAACTATAGCAAAGAATGTGTACAATTTAATAGGTCGTATAATGTTTGCCGCTATATATTCATGTATTAAAAACTATTTATCAAGATAAAATGTACGTTTTTAAATAATATAAATAAAACACTTAAATTGTACATTCAAATTAATAAATTCTTATAAATCGTTTAAATGAAAATTGCTAAGTGAAAAATTATAAATCCTTCAGAGTATTACCTGATAGATGGCCGCCATTACCTCCTATGAAGGAACGGACATATACACCAATGTCTTCTCCGATATTCGAACCTGGGCCCTTCGGTCTGCTCTCTTAATCACTCTTAATCAATCTAGAAAAAGACAAATTAGCTTTCAAAGACTGTCGATCACAGTGTTATGACAATGCGCCTGTAATGTCCGGCTACAAACCAGGAATGCAAAAAAGACTCACAGCACTTAACCCAAAAGATATATTTGTTAACTGTGATAATCATACACTTAATTTGGTTGGGGTTCATGCTGCTAATCATGAGGTAGCTTCTTTGACGTTTTTAGTACCATGCAAGCTATCTATGTTTATTTTTCATGATCAACTCTCCGATGGAAAAGACTGAAAACTGCTCTAGGTGTATCGTTGAAGTCGAAGTCAGAAACTCGTTGGAGTGCCAGAGTAGAAGCTGTTAAGCTGGTACATGATCAACTCGAAAGCTTAGTAGAGTTATTTGAAAATATTGCAGAGGATCATGATTAAAATGCAGATACAAGAAAGTGATGCAATTCAATTGTTGCATCGGAATCTTAACTTTTGAGTTTTTTGTTCTTCTTCGATTCTGGAATACAGTACTTGCCGGGATTGACAGGGTTCAGAAAAGGCTTCAAGACCCCATTATGAATTTCCACAATGCTGCTCGAGATATTCAGGCTTTACAGGACTATCTTCTACAAAACAGAGATGAGATATTCATGAAATCTCTTGGAGACGCCAAGGAATTGTGTAATGCTTGTGATGTCCAAGCTGAAAGACGACAGAGAAAGAAGAAGAAAATGCCTGGAGAAATTGCAGAAGATGTAGGACTCACAGCAGAAAATGAAATGCCGTGTTTGATGAAAAGTATGCTGGAAAAAATACACATAGAAATGGCAGACATATTCATCAGCTTAAAGAAAGTAGACTCTAATTTTGGCTTTCTTTTAGATATAAACGGACTAATGGCTACAGGCAACGAAAGTAGCTTGAAACAGTGCTGCATTTCCATGGAAAACGTTTACGACACAGACTTAGATGGCTTGGAGATGTATACTGAAATAATGGACTGCCGAATGCTACTCAAGACAAGAGCTGATGTTAAGCTTTCCAGATCGATGCCAGAGGACCAGAGGCCTCGCTTTATTGTACAGTACGGAGAAGATGTATTTCCCAATCTGAGAGTTGGTCTTCAGATTTTACTGACTATTGGAACCTCCATTGCCAGCTGTGAAAGATCTTTCAGTAAACTGAAACTTATCTTGTTCTACCTGAGATTATCCATGGCACAGGAAAGATTATCTGCCTTAGCTTTGCTCAGTGTGGAGCAGCAGGTTGCCCAGAGTATAAATTTTGATGAACTAATCGATAAATTTGCAGCAGCTAAAGCTAGGAAAATTTCACTTTGAAATTAGTGATTACGTTTGAAGCATTATACATGAAACTGTCATTATACATTTTCAAGTTATTGTATTATTATATCCAATATGATGTTTTAAGTTTTCGGAATTTATATTTGAATAATATTTTAGAATAATCATATTTTCGAACTATCATTATTGTCTTAATTATTTTACTACGTTCTAAGTTAGTGACTTTAGAGAAACTTTTAAAATATACTCTTAAAAGGACTTTAGAAATTAAAATATTTAATAATTTAAACTAATTAAAATTAAAAATATTTCATATTTTAGCAATTATTATTATTTTAAACAGTTAAAATGTTATTATTTTTAAAGTTTTCTTTTCGTTCCCCACTGCATTCTGGCAGATGGGGGGGGGCGAAATCTTCACTTGTCTCCGGGCGCTGATAACCCTAGCTACGCCTCTTGTTACAGCTGATATTCGCAAAGCTTTTCTACAAATTTGTATTTCACCTTCAGATAAAGACTATATGCGGTTTTTGTGGATTGCAGAAAATGGCCAACTGAAACACTTTAGACATCGCCGTGTAGTGTTTGGTGTGTCGTGTAGCCCTTTTTTGCTTGGAATTGTGATTCTACATCATCTGTAAAGTGTTTTAGACCGTAAAGGTATGGAATATCCAGAGAATGTGTTAAAATTATTGATGAAAGGTTTCTATGAGGATAACTGTATAACAAGTGTACCGAACGAACAAGAATTAAAGCCTTTCATTAAAGTTGCAACGAATGTTATGGTTGAACGAAAATTTGACTTAAGAGGCTGGGAATATACAAATTTCACAGATGAAATCACTCCAGTTACAGATGTGTTGGAGATGCAATGGAATAAAGATGCAGATGCCTTAATTATCAGTGTGACTAGTTTGAGAGAGCTTTGTATAGAAAAAGTTAAGAAGAAAATTATATTTTCTGCTGCTCATCGAATTTTCGATCCCATTGTTGTGACTTGCCCTGTTGCATTGTTCCCGAAACTATTATTGCAGAGAACTTGGGAAAGGAAGTTGAATTGGGAGGAAGAGGTTGATTCTGAAATTAAAGCAGAATTTCTGAAGTGGATGAGAAATATTTTTTATTTAGAAAAAGTACACATTATTGAAAATCGGTGATGACAATGAAAAATATTCTTTACATTTCTTCTGTGACGCAAGCATGTATGCCTATGCGACAGTAGCCTTTTTCGAGTTCAAACTAGCGAATGTGTTAAGGTACAGTTGTTAAGTGTTAAATCCAGAATTTCCCCAACTGGAAAGAAAAAAACAACTATCGCTAGACTAGAGTTACTAGCAGCCACAATTGCTTCTCGCCTTGCCTCTGCAATTGTGTGGGAGATTCCACATGGAAAAGTTTACTTTTGGACGGACTCCACTGCCTTAACTTACTTGGATTAAAAGAGAAGAAGCGTGGAGAACCTTTGTTCAAAATCAAATATCTGAAATCAGGACTCTGACTCTTTCATAAAAGGCATGGGCAAGGAACAATGGAGACATGTGCCAGGAACATTAAACCCGGCTGATCTTCCAAGCAGAGGATGTTCTGCGAAGAAAATGATACGGTCAAAATGGTGGGAGGGCCCTGATTGGTTATATTTAGCTGTTCACACATGGCTGTATTCAGAATTTGTTGTGAATGAAGATGAAGTTATTAAGGAACGGAAGAAAACTGTAGTTTCATCTTCAACTAGCTGCTTGGCTACTCCGATAAAAAATGTAGATAATGATGGGTACTATCGTTACTTTTCACAGTATGAAAAAATTGTACGCATGATTGGCTGGATCTTGAGATTTTTGGAAAACTGTAAAAAATAGAAAGAATTGAGAAAACAGGAAAGTCTGGATGCAGAGGACTTTTTAGAAGCTGAGAAAAGAGTAATAAAGATCATTAAAAGAGATGCATTCTTAGACGAGAATGATAAAAAACTGAGAACACTAAAAGTTTATAAAGATGAAGATGAGCTCATCAGATTAAAAACAAAAATTGTCTATCGAGAAGACAGCCATTCTTTTACAAGACCTGTAGTTCTCCCTTCGCAACACCAGGTTGTACTAATATTTTCTTTTCATAAAAGGCATGGGCATGTGGGGACTCAAATGTTACTTAATCTTCTGAGGGAACGTTTCTGGATCTTAAATGGAAGAAAAACTGTGAGGTCAACGATACTTGTGGGAGACGTCGTTCTCATAAGCAGTGACAATCGGAAAACGCATTAACTGGCTTCTAGTACGAGTAACGGAAATTATTGCTGGAAAAGAAGGAATCGCCAGACTCGTGAAACTTCGGACAGCTCATGGAGAAATAATGAGACCGATACAATTGTTGTACAACTGTTGTTTCCGTTAGAGATTAATTGTGAAATGGCTAAGGATGTACAAATTAAATTGCAAAGGCAGCAAGTGTCTCATTCTGAAGTATCCCAAGCACGAGTAGCAGACCCTGCAGAACCCGTTACACGAACTGTAACAACTCGATCTGGAAGAGGTATCAAAATACAAGAAAGACTTGATTTGTAACGCGATCGTTGATTTGTGAAGTCTTACAACTCAAGGTGGGAGGATGTAGAAAATCGAATTTTAATTTATGCACTGAGTGTTTAATTTATGTTAAATTGTATTTTATTTTATTATTTATAATTACTTTCAGTATAACTTCAAGTGTTTATCGTTTGTAACTTTGTAATTCGGAATCTGGGAACTAACAAATTGTACTCTAATGCTTTGAATTTAATGAGAGTTGTCTTTATAGTCGCAGTTGTGTTACAAAGAATAAAAAGAGTATTGTGTTAAAACTTTGTACATTATTTGAGTTTTGAGTTCTAGGAATATCGATTTATAGCTGAGGTTTGATTTTGGCATCCGACAGTTTCGCTCTAACACGATAAGAATATTGCCCAAGCAATCCGAAGAAATTTAACGAACTCTGCAAGAAGTTTTTCCATGTTGTGTAAAGTACCCATACAATCAATTAACACATAAAAATCCTTGTTTCGTAAGTTCTACCAGTTGTCTTCCAAGATCCGGTAGCCGTAAGAACAAATGTCTTCAGATGACTCGTATGAACAAATGCCCCCAGATAACAATGAAGAAACCTCAGTGAACAACATGAGGTCACAATAAGTGCTCTAAAATGCACAACCTGCACGTTCGGCTTCCAAAATTCGAATCCTCGTCTCCACGGCCTGAAAACAGAAGTGTTTCACGTTGCTCATCGGCAGTCTGCGTCGAGCCACCGTGCGTTAAAGAATAACTTTTTTGTCTTTAAGGCATTACGTTTCAGTCCCCAAACATGTCCTATAAAGATAAAAAACAACGTTTAAGAGGAAATTCGTTTCTTTAGAAATACAGATACAAAACTTTACTGTCTTTTAAAAGGAGAAAAGGTATCTCACATTGGAAAAAGTTTTAATTGGAATGAAGAAACAGTCCGAACTATTAAGAAAAATGAAAAATAAATAAATAAATAAATAAAAAGTGCAGTTGCTGCATGATCTTCGACATCCGCAGAACGTGTAGTTCGCACCCGGGAGCGCCAATAATTGAAAAGAGGGAAAAGGCACTCAGCATTTGCACTGATGATAGCTGTCAAAAAATAATTTCGTTGGATGGTAATATCATTAAACAAAAAGCACTCAAAATGTTCAAGCACCTCAAGGAACATGGAGAATACTCTGTCAACCTAGATTTTCTGGTAAGTAAAAGTTGGTTCGAAAATTTCAAAAAGCGTTTTGCAATTCATAGCATAAGAATTCAACGAGAATCTGCATCGGCTGATTACGAAGCTGCTAGGAAGTTTTCTGAAAATTTTCAAAATATTATAGAAAACACAGCAGTTCAAATTTTTGATAACGACAAAACTGGGTTTGGTGGATTAAAAATGCCCAGTAGAACCTTTATATCTAAAAAGAAAAAAAACTGCATCCTGATTTAAGGTGTCTAAAAATTGTCTAACGCTATTTTTGTGCAGTATGACTTTGGACTTTATGACAAAATCATTGTTAGTTTATAGATCTTTAAATCCTCGTGCACGTAAAGGCGTAAATAAAAACACCTTACCGGTATATTGGAAAGCAAGTCCAAGAGCTTGGGTAGCTGTGAATATATTTAAAGATTGGTTTTCAAATTGTTTTGTGCCAGACGCTGAAAGTTACTTAAGGCAGAAAAATTGAACTTCAAGGCGCTTATTACTATTAGATAATGCTCCATGTCACCCACAAGATTTGACTAACATTACTTCGTTACTCCAACCATTAGATCAAGATATTATTTATACCTTTAAAACTATTACATACGAAGAACATTACAGTAGGTGTTAGACGTAACCCATTCAAAATCTATTAATGTAATGGAAGCTTTTTTTTTTTGACTTATTACGTGCTCCGCCCTTGGGCACTACACGGAAAGGCAGGGATGCCCCGTGGAGGTCTTTTTGAGGGAAACTGGTTCGTATCCACCTTACACATGGATAAAACCACGAAAACGCCCATGCAGCCAGCCCCTTTGCCGGGACTCGTTTCCCGGATTGAACTATCAGTGTTCAGCTGCTTTTACCACTTGGCCGCTGGTGGGCCGTAATGGAAGCTTGGAAGACTTTTTTAATCAAGAACTGAATCGACATCGTATCTTTGTCCTTGAAAGAACCGAAAGCATCAACGTTAAATGCATGTTAGAAGAAGATATAGCCCTCTTCAGTTAGAATAGAAAACGTGCCTGAATGGTCAGAAAATGAAATTGGTGGCATATTAGAACTTGCTAAATCAATCGGAGGCAAAGGTTTTGTGAACATGGCTACTGAGGTTGTTCTAGATTTATTAGCCGAAGAAGAAATTGACGAAGATTTGATAGAAATGACATCCGAAGCTGTAAATGAAATCGATTCTGAGGGCACTACCACTGATGAAGATTGTGAAGTTAATGATTTAGCATTAAAAAAATTAAAAGAAGGCCTACGTTCAGCTGATATCTCGAGTTATTTTTCTTGAGTCAGAGTCTTCT